GCTCTGCGTATATCAGCTGTGATTTCAGTTCTAAGTTTCTTATATGCAGCCCATTTGCTCGGATCCTTTGTCCGGTCTGCCTCTTTGAATAATTTAAATCTGCGATTCATTTTGTGCCTAATTGTGTTTTGTTAATCCACGGAGCAGACATACTTCTCACTCTCAGCCAAATTTTTGACCAGTGATGACATAAAGCGACGCTTGTTTTGCGAACAAGAAGGTACATGTAGGGAAATGATCACAGTAAAATCTGGTCTGGGAAGTAGTGACACAACACTACTTAGAAATCTTCGACCTGAATATGTTGAGACTATTTTTGTTAATAACTATCTTTAACTTTTTTAGTTGCGAAAAAAAGGTTCTCTTTTTGTCCGCATAACAAATCCAATAAATCCTTTTACTGACCAAGCTTGTGCCATCTTGATCTCGCACTTAGTCAATAATATTTAACATGCATTCAAACATGATTTACAATATTAGCGCTTTTGTCTTCTAAAATAATAGCGATTACTGCCAAAGCTAAGTGATTTGCTCACTTTGGTACATGTATCCGCATGACAAGTCTGTGGCTCGATTTCTTCTATTATTACCTTAAAAAAGCCAAGCGTATATTGTGTTCATGCACTTTCATCCTCGCTTTCGAGAAAAAAGGGGCCAAAATGATGAAGCAGAGGCGAGAATCCACACCAGTTTCCATAGCCTTCTCCCATAGCACCTTCTGAGGGGAGGGGGTGTCTGTACACAGGTTTCACCCTTCTTATACGGTCAGGTTTTTCATAATAGATTTATTTTTAACATCAATAACAGCTTCCCAAGTTGAAATCTGGCCAATATCCTGTCTGAATGAAAGAAAGTTCAGGAACAGATAAAGAAAGTTGTTGTCTTGTGTTCCCATCCTTGACAAAACGTGAAATGAGGCGACCCAGGAACAGAATAGCACGTAACCCGCACTCCTCAAACAGATGGCTTCAGTTATTTACTAGTTTCAGTGTATTTACTGCCTTCCTTGTGGCATGGCCCCAAGCAATCTAGTTCCCAGAGGCCGCGATCATTTGCCCATGCGCATGAGCATCTTGTTTCAAAACAAAGATGACGGGTGATGAGAGGAATGCAAGAGCTTTGTATTTTATATTTGTTCGGAAAGTCGGGGTACCCGAATTGATTTAAAATCATGACACGAAGGGAAAAGTTGTAGACTTGATTTTTTGTCTGGTCATTTTTGTAAGTGCTTCAAAGTTACTGAGTTTTGGTTGTGACTTTTGATTTAATAGACAAACACTGTTCTGAACTTTCTAGAAAGAACCATAGAATATCTGGAAAGTTAGAGTTGGGAAATATAAGTTAGTTTTTCTTGTTTTTGTCACTATTCACATAAAGATGTTTATTTTTTGAGAACGTAAAAAAAAAATAAACGTTTGTTTAGAAATAAAGTGTTTGTAAAATGTGCCAGTAAAGTTGGTGTTTTTACTTATTTTTGTCGACGATAGGAATAAGTATTGATTTTTAACATAAAAATCTATTTTTTGAAATAACAAAGTTTCTTTGACACGTCGCTACTAAGAAATTTAATCACCTCAGGATCAAAGCAATCAGTGAATGGCTTACTTTAATTTGCCAAATAAAATGAAATGGAAATCTGTATTTTGCAAAATGAACATCTGCAGTTTACAAAATAAAAAGTGTGTAATTTGCAAAATGAAAAATCTGTACTGAGTTTGTGAAATGAGCAAGTAGAAGTTTAGTTGGTTTGATAATGCAAAATTCGAAATAGGGGTTACATTTTTATTGTAACTTGGATAATTATCACAGGTCACTGGATTACCTTGCTTCAGTTATCACTCAGTACTGAAACGCCTCAAACAAAATTTTGTTTTGATCTCATCCGAAGGTGTATCTAACTCATTGAATACTTTATTCTAAATGAATCCGCTATTTTACTACCGTTTCAGGTACATGTAAGGAACCACATTAGATCATTCCCATGGATGTCGAGTCATTATTCTAGGAAAGATGCTCAGCAGAAGCGGTTCCTCAACCCCAACCTCAACATCATGTGGATGTATAACCTAATTTACCTTGAGGCCGTGGAGTCAGAAGTCCTGGAAAGAGAGAAAGATATAATAAGAGCAAGGCAGGAAAGACGTCCTATCCCCGAAAAACTGAAGCTGGCAGTGAGAGAGCATACCCATCGTTAGGTATTTAATTCAGAATTCAATTTAAGATTCGGACTTCCATGCTTGGATACCTGTGCCACCTGTGACAGACTTAACCTCGCACTTAAGTCTGATCCAGGTGCACAGTTGCCCATTAGCAGTTGGCGGACCACCAAGATAAGGAAGACAAAGGGTATCAAAATAAATTATGCGGGGAGACAAAAACGCGGCCGTTGATAGCTGGGGAGGCTATACCTGTTCTTTATGCACTGCTGCCTACTGTTCCAAAGACGCTGTGGATGTGGTATCTTTCAACTTCATGTAAAACCTTCCCATGCCAAATCTAACTCACAACGATGTGTTAAAATACAAACGCCAGCTCTGGATGTACGTCTTTGGAATACATGACATGGTGGTAGACCGTGGGTATATGTACATGTAGGACAAGGCGGTAGCAAAGCACGGATCATCAGAGGTGGCCTCCTGCCTTAGGCAGTTCTTTGAAACCTATCGGACAGGGGGAAAATCATTGTTGTCTTATTCAGACGGTTGTGGAGAGCAGAACAAAAATTTGACCGTCCTCGGTCTTTACAGTGAGCGACATCAACAAGGGGTTTATGATATCCTAGATCATAAATTCTAAACAAGAGGGCATACCTTTCTGAGAAACGATTCAGGTTTTGCCCAAATTGAGAAAAGAAAATCAATTGTGGTGGCATATTTGCCCAGTGACTGGTGTAAGGTTGTGGAGAAGGCAAACCGGCAGAACCCTTTTCAAAGACAGTTCTTTAATTATAAACAACACATAGAGGGTAAGTATAGGAACTGTCACATTGCGACCGGCGGTTCATCTTTTAGAGTACATTGGCTAAACTTCGGTTGGGGTTTAGAATCAAATCCATCCCTGAACAGGTCAGTGTTTATTCATCACCCCAACGAAGTGTGTATGAGAGATGCCTATTGTGCGTGGGAATCATGGAAGGAGAGGGCTGGGGACGTTTCTCTGGAGCAGCTGTACCATGAGCCTATGGTACCATCGGCCCAAAAGGTATGTGACCTGAGAGAGATGGCTCTTACACACGTACCTTCACCACAATGAGACATTTACTTAAACTTGGCAAACTCCTGGGATGGCTCTGACACAGACAATCAAGACAGCAAAACTAAAGTGTTAAAAAAAAGAAAAGTTCTATGACGAAGTCGTCTGTGAAGGGAGTAACAGTGGTTATGCAATAAAGCCAAAAAATCCCAGTGAAACGACAAGCAGACACCGAAACACAGTGGAACACATTGCAGGTAAGTCTTTTTTATTCATTTCATTGAAGGAATAATTAGATTTAACGTTATTTAGCATTTGAAGATCTCAGTATTTATTTCTTAAGCGAAGCCTCTTATTTTCAACGGTCACCTTTAATGAGGCACCGGTGTGTCCAGCAGAAAGGTCACGCATCNGGGGGGTATGGATATTTTCTGGAATCACACAATGCAAATCATGAGGTACCTCCTCGCAGTACTTCCTAGCAAGTGGGCTTGAGAACGCGTAGATGTGTAGCACAGGAGATGAAGGAGATAAAGTATATTAAGCATAATCTTCCCTAGTTTTAATCATTTAAAATTAAATATTTCCTTCTCGTTAATTGACTGGCCTGCCAAGATTAACTCTAGCTACCTGTGGGCCAGTGCACTCTTGTAAAAGCTCAATAAGAGAAATAAAATGTTGTTGTTGTTGTAGTGTAAATGTATGTTGTAGTTAATTTTTTATCCCAGGTAATCTTTATTTGTCTTTTGTTTCGACTTCATTAGCATGCATTACCATTCCCAAAAACAAAGGAAAAACAAAAATTACTTGAGATAAAAAATTAACTACAACATGTACATTTTACTATTCTTGGTTTGCAGCCATGTGACAAGGCAGCCACAATGGATGACAGTAGGGCCATTTATCACGGAAAAATAAAAACGCGTCTTACATAAGACGCGTCTTAAATAAGACGCAAACTTTCCGTATAAACGGCACATTTCGTCTAAAATAAGACGCGGCTTAGCTAAGACGCGTCTTATTAGATAAGACATGCTCGTATAAATGGTACAGTTCTCGTCTTATTTGAGACGCGTCCCATGTAAGATGCGTCTTATTTTTCCTCATATAAATGGCCCTAATATGTACAATAGAATTTTTTCTTGAAGAATTGACAGGAAAATAGAGTTAAGTTCCCCGAGGAGAAAAATGGTTTTCCTCTTGTCATTCAACATGGCCGCCGTGATGTCACATGCAAGCCAGCAACATAATAATTATTATTACGGTCACTCTGAACTGTGCAGTAGGGGATGACTAGTGACAGGCATTGCAATGCATCTGCAATCCCAATGAGATATACTGTAGATTAAGTTGGCCTTTTTCAGCAGCATTCCTGTTACTGTAGCCTGAGAAAACAGTTGACATTTCATGACACCACCACTGATTTTCATGAGAGATGAATCATGAGAACAAATGTAGAAATTCCATACTGATGAGACTTCACTACCAAGATGAATCTTGGTACCTAGTCTTTCTGTGGTTGAAGCAATCAGGCACTACCCATTGCTGGGTACTGACGCATCATCAGTATGGAATGTCTGCACTTGTTTCTCAGATGTCATGTCGCGGGCAAACCAGTGCTAGCATCACAAAATGTCAGCTGTTTTCTCAGGCTATCATTACTGCTTTAGTTTAATATTAATACATCAGCTGTGGTTTGTTTTCACTGGGGTTTTTTCAGGAGGGGGTTACCGGTAAGACAGCATATAATAGCTCTTGTGCAGTTTCCATAATGAGGCCATATACTGAAGGACTTCAGAATAAAAACAAGAGCTTAGTTCCACAACATCATTACAACTTTCAATATTAATGCAGAGTTTTTGTGCTAATGACATATTGTTTTATTATCGTATCGTATTCCACCCCAGCTTCTTATAAAATGTTTAATATTTTGATCATTTCTCAAATTTATAAAGGTCAACAATCGTGATCACAGATCGGAGGGACTTGTTGGTTGAAAGCGAAGACGAAACCTATTACACAAGTGGAGGGTGGAGGCTCCTGCTTGGCAGAAGAGCTCATATTCATGGAAGGAGGTAGAGATACTAATTCATAAATCCTAGCTAACAATGTTTACAGTTTTGTATACATAATGTAAGAACCTCGATTAACAAACGAACTACCATTTGGCATAAAATTTTCTTAGGATCTAATTAATTTTTTGGTAATTTCACGGATTTTTCAACGATCCACGAAAATTAAATCCCGTGAAAATAAACTTGCGCCCAAAAAATTCCGTGAAAAGTTACTCCCTTTTATTTATATTATTGAATTTCAATTTCAATTTAATTGGTTGCAAACAGTGTAATGAAAACAAGCTATACATTATTAAGGAACATCATTGGAGAGCCTGCCATCTCTGAGAAAATTTTCTTTTTAAATCAACTCAGTCAAAACAAGGAGACTGCAGTATCTTCTTTATTCAACCTTTATTCCAAATTTCTAGTTTTGCAATAGGGGCGCCATCACGCAAGATGTCCAGTTAAATGAAATAAAATAAAGTTAACGATAGCAATAACAAAATTAATCTCTACAAAAAGATAAAATGAATAAAAATGTCATAGTATTAATTAATATACAGTATCAAACCATACCAGAATGAGCGCAAGGACACCAGAGAAATGTGTTTTTCTGCAAAATCTCCAGGGCAAATTGTTTAACTGGTCCTTTTTAGCTTTAGCAAGAAATTTCAAGTTTGTAAGTATTGTTTGGTGATTTTTCAGACGCCTCAGAAAGAACTTGGTGACAAATTTGACCTTGGAAGTTTCCTTCTAAAACCAGTACAAAGAATGAGGAGAGTATAAAGAAGCTCTTATCAAAATAAATGGAGGAAATTGCTTAATAACGTTTGGTAATTCATACAAATTCCAGGATATGATCAAAGCTATTGACATGGAACATCCTAAAATCACCGAGCCATTGCATTGCCTATACCTAATTATTTTTTACCTAAACAGCATTTTACTAGATCATGTAATTCTAATTATTCATTTATTCAAGCCAACTGCAATCATGATTATTACTTTAATAGTTTCTTTCCATGGACAATAAGGGACTGGAACTCTCTACCAAGTGGCATTCGTACTAGTACAAATTTTTCATTATTTAAAGATCACTGTTACTCCGCTATTAGAAATATTATTGATCGCTGTCATTTATCTATCTTTTTTATGTTTATTTATCTTATTTATTTGTACAGTATATATATTTTATAATATTTTATATTTTATATTTATTAAGAAATAATTTTATCATTTGAAATTGTAATATATTACTATATGTAATTTACAAGTGTGTTAGTGTGTTTTTTTGTGTTGTTGTTGTTTTTTTTTTAATTCTATTGGTGTATTTCTGATATTGTAATTTATTTAATTTATATTGACTTGATGCAAAAGCGTTGTCAATTAATAATGTAGATGTAGATGTAAAGGTAATAACCTACTATGTATTATTCGCTTATTTGTTGGTTTTGTATCAGATAAATTGTTTTAACCTAGGAATTGAGCTTTATAAGCCTAACCAGTCTTATGGGGGACAATTGCTCGTACACTGCTTGTGTGTACCTATGTGCAGTGTTTTCAACTTGTAGGTTCCGATTTGGTAGTCTTGAATCAGAAATACTTCACATTCAGTTTTCGCGGGGACAAAGAGCATTCATAGTAACCTGTAGGCTTGGATAATAATATACAGTCGAACCCCACTATTTCGAACTCAGTTAATTTGTTTTCCATTTCTCTTGGGACTTCGAAATAGCAGGGGTTTGACTGTACTATCTTACTTTTCATGCCTAAGCCATTGCATTTTTGTCCTATGTGATTGTTCCATTAGCAAGAACTAACAGCAGTGTGGTTTGTAATATTGTTGTGTTGTTGATAGACAACAGAGGAAACGGTGAAATACCAGCTACATGTACAGTGTAAAACATGGCAATGATCTGTTAGCTATGGACTCACTCAGAGGATGCAATGTACGTACACCACTTTCATTGTCTAATACAATTCTTGTCTTGTTCCCTTGTACTTCCTTTTGAACCTTACAATGTACAGTTGACTCCTGATAACTCGAACTCACGCTAACTCGAACCAATTTGATTTGATTTCCCCTGGATTTCCCTTCATACATTTACTATAATTTTACCTGCGGTAACTTGAACCGTGGGTAACTCGAACCTTCTGCTAATTCGAAGTAACTTTTGTTTCCCTTCAGATCATTTCTACATAAATTTACCCTCGATAATTCGAACCATGTTTTAAGCACCTGACAAGCTGA